TTTTTTACTGGGGGGACGCTATTTTAATTAGGTCATCCCAAACAATGCCACACAAGTGCGCACGCGCGCAGTGCACTCACAAAACGGGTAGACAGGTCCACAGAAACTACCGGTATGCTTAGTCCTACTTTATTTGCTGTACTGCAAAAAGCCGACGGCGCTGCGCTCAACACACACACAGACTCAAAACCATGGACACACTGGCACATAAGTTACATAAACAATTTATAGGCCTAAGTTGCATAAATGCTTGAGCTACAGTATTGCAACTAAGCAGACAGCGCTGCTTCTCTCTCTCTCTCTCTATCTCCACTTTCAAAATGTATTTAAAACTCATAACAAACAAACACAATTCCCAAAGTTGTCCTGAAATTAACTTATTAAATAAACGAAACGAAAAATATAGCCTACTTATGCAAACAACATTGAATCTGGACTTGAAATTATTCTGATTAGGCCTAGCCTACATTGCAAATAAGCAGACAGCGCTGCTTTTTTCACACACACACACACACACACACACACACACACACACACACACACACACACACACACACACACACACACACACACACACCTTGCGTTTTGAAGACTGATAAATCCGAAATGGATGAACAAACTTTGCAGCCCAGTTTCCCAGCTTTGCAGTCTATCCACGGGTATGCCTCTTGTTTCCTCCGCCACATCTCCTCCGTCCATACCTCTGGGAAAGGTGAGCTTGAGCTAGCTCGGGGAACGTTGCTAGCATAGCTAACGTTGACGTTAGTGCTAGCATTATCCACATCTTTAGGCGGCTCTTCTGATGATGTACTAGTAGCAGCTTCACTTGTAGCTTCGGTGCTGCTAGCCTCTTTCTTTTTGTGAATGAAATTATTTTTAGAAAATAGGTGAAGTATACAATGTTTGCCTGCCATTGCAGAGCTTTCTCGCTAGCGTTCTTGAGGGAAAGAGCTGCCGCCAAATCACTGACACACCCCCAGCTCGCCGCGGGGCTCCTGCATCGGGTCGGGTACCAAAATAAGTGATTCGCGGGTGGTGTTTTTTTAAACACTTTTTTCCGGGTTCGGTTCTGGGTAAAACAAAGATGATGCGGGTCGGGTCGCGGGTGTTGCATAATAAATATATTAAAATAATAATAATTTTGTTTAACCTTTAATCCTCGACCTCTCCCCCGCGGGACGCGCATAATCATAACCTCTGCAGTGCATCAATCTGCTGTCTGAGTGCGCCCATTCGAAATGACTGAGGTGAAGCTCTCTAGCGGAGAATACAGCATTTCAATACACTTCTCAAGAGCAAAATCCAACGTCTGGGAGGCTTTGGTGTCATCCTAGATGGAGGAAATAACCAACATCCCACGCTTTTTGAGACAAATATGCAACTGCGGGTGTAATTGCACGCTCATATATACTGCGGGTTCGGGTCGGGTTGCGGATCTTGTGCCGAGGGTCGGGTCGGTGTTGCGGAACTAATTTGGCAATATGTGCGGGTAGCGGGCGGTCGGTATTTGCACGTCACGGGGCGGGAGCGGAGTCTTGAAATTTCAGACCCGTGCAGAGACTCTGCGCGGGGGTCCACGAGCGTGATGACGAATTCATTTTTTAAGGAAATCACGTTTTTCATTAGAATTACTGTGAAATGTATTATCGTTTTTTTGTTTCATTATTCAACAAATACACACTTGCAACTGATAACACTGGCAGTGGATTTTATATTTATTATACTATTAAAAAAAGATCATGCTCCCAAATAAGTGGGGTGGGGTCGTATACGGCGTACCCGTACTACCCAGCGATCCAACGCCACTAACACCTGTTTCCCGGGAAACCACTCACAGCGAGAAACACGGCCTG